TTGGCTCTTTGAAACGGACGATCACTATAGTCTTGAATCATCTGCCCGATATCTTCGGACATTAATTAATATAGTTTCTGAAACCGATTATCATCCAGACCCATCACTCCCGTTCATTCCATCATCCATCTTCCTGTATCCCTTAAATCCTTCCCTGAGTACTCCTCCACGCTCTTCCATAAGCTCTCTTAGTCACTCTATATCTTCTTCTCCTGTCTCTCTCTTTCTCTCAACTTTCCACTCCCCTCAACTCGCCGTTCTCATCCTTCCTCACCAGATTAGATATCATTCATTTTCTTCCCTCTTCCTCCTTTCAAAGCTTTGCGCATAATCATTATACAGGATTTGTCAAAAGTGTGGAAATCCTTAAATAATTTTTGTAAAAATGAAAATATCAAAAAACGGTAAAACACGTATTTTGATTTTTCAAAAAAGCTACCCTATGACATGGATACCGATCATTCCCCCCCCCCTGGTACGCGGGGGTGAAAAGGGGATTGAAAATTTTAAATTGGACTAAGGGTCGAGCGGGGGCTCATTTGAAAGGTCTTTTCATAACAAACACCCTTAAAATTTTAAGTACGACCCATTAAAAATGGCGGCCGTTCAAATTTCGAAATTTCATGCACTTAGTGTTATCCAGGATCAACTGCGTGGAAGTGGCATGAATATGATCCCTCGTGTGCGTGTGCGTGTGCGTGTGCGTGTACGTGTACGTGTGCGTGTGCGTGTGTGTGTGCGCGCGCGCGCGCGTGCGTGCGTGCGTGTGTGTGTGTGCGCGCGTGCGTGCGTGCGTGCGTACGTGTGGCTAAACAAGTGTGAATGTGTTGTATGTATAGTCGTGATAGGTTGCAAAACAGACGATTGAAAACTGTCATCTCTCTTTAATGATTCAAAACCTTTTACTCTGTGTTTTAAAATAAATTTTACTCAGTGTGTTAAAGTAAATGCTGAAAGTGGCTGCCATTTATTTCCTGACAATATGCCAATCTTTGATAGAATGCAGAAATGGCTCTACGATTCGTCTCAAAAGATATCAAATCTATTTCATCCCTTATTCGCTGTATCAATTCTTGGATGCTTTCAGGTTTTGTTTTGTAAACCTTACTCTTCAGGTTTCCCCATAGATAATAATCAAGAGGAGTTAGATCTGGTGACCGAGGTGGCCAATCCTCTCCTCCCTCATTTCTGTTCCTTCTTCCTATCCATCGTAATGGAAAAGTCTCATTTAAAATTTGACGTGGCCCTGAACCAAAATGAGCAGGAGCTCCATCATGCTGAAACCATATTTCTTCGAAATTATTTGGAAAAATATTTCGTATGGCTGGAATTATTTGATCTACAAGTAATCTGTCATACCTTTGAGCGTTCAGATTTTCTTAAAAAAAAAACGGTCCTATTAAGTACCCACCTATTATTCCACACCATACATTTATTTTTTGTGGGTGTTGTATGTGAGTTTCCCGCACCCAATTCGGATTCTCATCTGACCAGAAACGAAAATTTTGATTATTAACTTCTCCCGTTAACGTGAAAGTTGCCTCGTCTGTAAAAACAATTTGATAAGGGAATATGGGCCGGACATCTATTAGTGCCATCATTCTTTCACAGGAACCTATACGACGCTCCACATCTCCGTCTTGCAATTCTTGAACATATTGTAATTTGTATGGATGGAACTTGTTTTTTTTTTAATTCTCCAAACGGACTTGGAGCAATATCATGAGTTTGAGCGGCTCTGTTAATAGTAGAATTGAGACCTTCAATAAATGTCTGCAGAACATCAAGTTGTTTTTCTTCGTTAATGGCAGGTCTCCCTGATTTAGGGAGATTGTTTACGCTACCAGTTTCTCTGAAACGTTCTATTGTTTTTAAGACAGTGGACTTATTAATTCGACGATTCGGATACGTCTCATTAAATAATTGAGCGACAGCAGCGTACGACCGCTCGTTATCCCCCCCCCATCCACGCATCATGAGGATAGTGATTCTTTCACGTTCCGACAATTCGCCAGCCATTTTTAAAATGTTTAATTTTTAATCTGCCTAAGTTCTGTGAGAACTGATTTTAAGTAGCCGTGAGAACAACTGATTTTAAGTAGCCGCGAGAACAACTGATTTTAAGTAGCAGTGAGAACAATTGATTTTAAGTAGCCGTGAGAACAACTGATTTTAAGTAGCAGTGAGAACAACTGATAGCCGGTTGATCCTGGATAACACTAAGTGCATGAAATTTTGAAATTTGAACGGCTGCCATTTTTAATGGGAGGGAGGGGGGAATCGTAGTGACTTAAAATTTTAAGGGTGTGTTTGTTATGAAAAGACCTTTCAAATGAGCCCCCACTCGACCCTTAGTCCAATTTAAAATTTTCAACTCCCCTTTTACGCCCGCGTACCAGGAGGTGGGGAATGATCGGTATTCATGTCATAGGGTAGCTTTTTTGAAAAATCAAAATATGTGTTTTATCGTTTTTTGATATTTTCATTTTTACAAAAATTATTTAAGGGTTTCCACACTTTTGACAAACCCTGTATAGCATATACGTTGCTGACCGTCTATCATAATACGTATAATTTTATATTATCTACGCGAAATTATTGTACAAAACCCCGTGCCGACAATATTTGTTAAAGCTATTTAAATTTGCTCTTAAATCTACCTAAATAAAATGTGCCGTCAATTTTTTATAATATATATTAATTTTATTTTATAGTTCAAATCACATTCCCTCCTTTCCAATTTATACCCCGATTCTAACTATCGACTCGCGGTCCAATTTCAGATAAGGAGATTTAGTTCTCTGACCTAAAAGTAGACCATCCGCCGTATGTCGCGATCGGAGTAAAAGGACCCCTCTGGTCCCTGATCTATATCACACGCAAGCACGTGCGGGTCTCACAAGCACGAGTATGCACGTTGCGCTCCTCCTCCAGGACGTAACAGAAGTGTAACTCCAGATGTATTTGCTAATTCATATTAACTAATATGTAGTTTAATTTCTATTGCTGCAAAAATATTGATACTGTTATCATAATTAATTACTTAGTTTGTTTTTATCTTTTAATTACATTTAATTTATTATGCATACGTAAACACTTTTCTAAACGAACAAATGCCATACGCGACTTTTTAACACCATAACATTCATAAAATAGTTCTGCTGCATGTCGAGAATCTTTCTCACATTCTTCCAGAATTAGTAACATATCAGCTTTCATATCAAATCGAGCCATGCTTTTTAAAAGTGATACCATGAAAGCCGATTTAGAACCGAATAAATGTATATAAATTTATATTTATTTTCCGATGAATGTGTATAAAGAATATAGTACTCTACTTAAGTCTTCCAATAAAAATAAAGATCTTGATATTAATAGGGAAAACATAAACACATAGTGAACGTACACGCACTATCGTTGCCATCCATTTCCATTCAACAAAGAATACATGAAGCTTGCTTTAGCGTGACTTCAAAAATGTTATTTATAGATAAACAAAATTTTGTAAAAACATTTAATAAATGTTTAAATATAAGTGTTCAATAGTTCGAACATTTAGTAAAAATGTAAAAAACAATGAATTCTTTTATTTACTTTGTAGTTTTATCATTTTAGTTTAAATACACTTTACTCTAAAGTTTAAATGTTTATAACTTTCAATAGTAATATATTTTTAAAAAATGTTCCAGATAAAGTTTACTTATTTCTTCTCGTAGAATCTAAATGTGTAACATTTTATAAAAGGTCCCATTTGAAATTACAAACTAAAACTAGCCCCATTCAGAGAAGAGCGTGAGCGGACTTTTGTTTATATAGTTAGAAAAACTTCTCGAATACATAAAACTTTGTCATAAACATGTTATTGATACGACGAATATTTTTAGTTTTTGGATTGTCACACTTTACGAAGGCCACCCTGTATAATTCCTTTTGTTGTAATTAAAGGTAACAAATTTTTAATTAATAATTACCTGCTTGTTTTTAGTGCTATTCCCTTTCACGACACATTCCGTTTGAGTCTTTTAGTTTCCCTAGTGGGCAAGTTGCTATATTACGTAGTGGGGTGTCTATAACAAACACATCACGTATAAGATCATCAATTGAAAGTATATCAGTCGTGTACGGAAGCTGTGTTGTAGGATGTACTCCTTCTGACATTCCTATGTCGGTCGTAGACGAAAGCTGTCTTATTAGACGGACTCTTTTTGACGTTCCAAGTGATATTAGGTTGAATGTTATCAGCATAATTATTAAGAAAACACGGAAGGACATTTTCATTGTGCCGCTTAATAATCTCAATATTCTTTACGACCTGAAAGCCAAGAAATTAAAGTTGGAAGTCAAATTCTTTTTAGCAACTGTTTTACTATAATGATAACTTATTATTGTTAAATTTCGTAAAATCCTTTAAGCACAGTTTTCGCACATTAATCATATATTTCACTTATGAGAATTTAATACGAGTTTGAATCTTTCCGATACGTCTTACGACACGTCCCGACAAATTAACACGTACTGTAAGATATCTCACACGCATGCTATATATAAAGCGTCCTTCTTGCCGCGTTCTTCATACAATTATATTGCGATTTTATGGTAATTCATATGACGTAAGTTTACTGGGCAAAACCAGTTTTATAAAGTATCTTTTCCTGCTACTACATGTAACAAAATATTACACGTAAAGTATGAGATGTACACGCAAGAAACTATATAATTATACTATACAGGGTTCTCAAAAAGTCTTCGAACGATAAAATATCTCGAAAACAATCAGTTTTTGGAAAAAATATTTCAGGCAAAAGTTGTAAAGTTTAACCCTTTGCGGTCGGCAGATTTCGCTCTTGGGAGTACCAGCAGGTCGGAGCAAATTTAGCGTTTCGCAGTTACTTTTCCGTACAGGATTTAAAGTCAATATATGGATATTAAAACACACAGAATTTGTTGAAACTGATTTGTTGTATTTAATACTACTTATAATACCTAAAAATACAAAATTTTTAATTTCTGTAATTTTCTAAAGTATGATATTTTGCAAAACAATCACCGATATGAAGTCCTGGCTTCCGTGTACAAGTATCACAGTACGTGTGTGTTTGTCGTCTCTTTCCTGGAGTTTTCCTGTCGGAACATACTGCACAGTCTTTCTTGCCTCCTGAACGAATTATATGAAGCTGATTATTTAATCTAATGTCTACGAATGACGTTGAAGGTTGCGCTGTAGATAGTGTTTGGTGCCGGAAATTTCCTACTAACTGATCGACTAAACCTTTCACAAAATTTAAGTGTGTTAGTGGCTTTTCGTTGTTCTGTTGTTTTGTTATTTTATGCATTATGTATGAATTGACGACGTACATCTCCATGCCCCAAAAAAATAATTTTTTCCACCATTTGAGAGATTTGCAGAGGAAACAATATGTTGCCGCATATTGGTCCGCGCGATCAACTGCTCTCATTTTATTGGTATAATGTATAGCCACGATTGGTCTCAATAAATTTATTGTGCCACCACCACCGCGTGTTCTCGTTGTAACCGAGAAAGTTTGAATTGATTCGAGGGATGCTGCATCGCTGGTGCTCAGAAAAGTTACGATTCGCTTGCTTTTCCATGCGAGGACTAATGTATTGTTCTTCTTATAAGCCACAGTCGACTTTGATGAAAATTTCGGTTTTTTAATTGCAGCTGGCAAATATTTTCGATTTGGCATTACTGTACCAGTTAAATGGACCTTTAGTTTTAGAAGTTCATTAGCAAGCGGGATATTTGTTAAGTATCTATCAGTATACAAATGATAGCCCTCAGCACTTGGAATGTTGTCCAGAAGTTTTTTAACTAATGTTAAAGGAATTCGAGAGCTAACCGGAAGTTCTGGTTTCTCTAAATTCGCAGTTGTCAAGCTTCCATAATAGGGCAAAATCATAATGAATGAGTATACATAACCGGTTTCCCCATCCGCTAATACGTAAATTCTTATGCTCCATTTGGTCGTTTTCTTCAGATTATTCGTTATAAATGCAATTTTTCCCTTGAAATTGACGATTGATTAATCGACACAAATATCCTTACCAGGTATAAAATGTTCCGCAAACTTCGAGTCGATATATTGCAAAAAGTTGTTTACCTTTCCAATCCGGGTTCTCAAAGATGTATTAGAAGATGCATTGCCTTGTAGATGTAACATCCAGAAAATTTGACGGAATCGGTCTCTTCTGAATACCTCCGAATAGAAAGGAATTCTGCTGTTGCTCCTAGTTGTCCAATATTCCGATATGCTTGCAAGTGACATTGTTCCCATATTTAGAATTACACCGATGAAAGTCATAAATTCTTTACGTGTAACGTCCACCCACAAATGCCAAATAAACTTATTGGCCAACTGTTTCTCACATATCTTCATTTGTACATATTCATTAGTCGTTCTTACAATTTGGTCTATCAATACATCAGTGAAATATAACTTGAAAAAGTCCAATGGTCTTGTTACATCCTGAGATATTTGTGGTCCTACGATTCGCGGAGAAGTTTTGAACGTGAAACTAAAAGGCAAATCGTCTTTTTCTGTTGTCGTCCTCCCATCCATCACTATTACTTGAGTCTTCTATTTGTTCTAACTGTTCTTCGTCATTACCTTCATTATTCTCCATATCACTGTCAATTCTTACTACATTCCGTCTCTTAGGAGGAACTACAGGGTGAAGAAAAAACCCCGGGACCCCTGAAAATTTCGAAAAATATACACTTTATAAAAAAATGTTTCAGACAAAAGTTGTAGCGTTGAGAAAGATCTATTTATCGATCTTAGCAATTTGACCTCGAGTGGCGTCATCAAGGTGAGGACAAGGTCACCTCGGATTTTTTAAATGGAACTCCCAATATTTTATTGCATATTCCTATAGCCCTTCTTCAGACCTTTTCAAAGCACTATGGTTTTATCCAATTTGAATAAGCTGTTCCGAAGTTATCGAGTTTTTTAAAGTAAGATATCTAGCCAACTAAGGCAAGATCGGAGGATGATCCGGCCAACTAAGGCAAGGTCGGAGTGATCGAGCCAACTAAGACAAGATCGGAGGATGATCCAGCCAACTCGTAAAAATAATTGCGCGACTAATTTCCAGGCGTTGGCTCCTATTGGCTTGTCTTAATTTCGTTGATTGATTTATTTCAGTTATTTATTTATTTGAACTATTCTGCTGTTCGATGTTTATTTCTTCCATTTACTCATTTAATACTCATTACAGTTTAGTGAATCGCAAACTCGACTGAAATTCCTCTATTTTACAACTACTTCTTACAACTAGCTTCAAACTGTTTCTTAATAATTTTCAAAAAAAATAAAGGAATTTCAGTCGAGTTTGCGACTTACTAAACTGTAATGAGAATTAAAAATGATTACTGATGTTATCAGTACCTTGGCTAGCGTCAACAAGGTCAGGGCAAAGTCACCTTGAACTTTCCAAATGGAACGCCCTACATTTTTTGGCATATTTTTATAACGTATTTCAAGAGCTTTCCAAAACTACAACAAAATATTTTTTTGTTAAGTACATCCCGAGTTATGAAGCTTCAAAGTTACAGTACCGTCGGCATTAGCATTACCCAAGGTGTACCGCGTGGAGGTTGCACGTTCGGATTTACACCTCTGGTGTGTGCGTGTGCGTGTGCGTGTGCGTGTGTGCGTGTGCGTGTGCGTGTGCGTGTGCGTGTGTGCGTGCGCGTGCGTGTGTGTGTATGCGCGCGCGTGTGTGTGTGTGTGCGAATTAATTTTAACACACATACGCGCGCGCGCACGCACACGCACACGCACACACACACGCACACGCACACACACACACGCACTCGCACACGCACACGCACACGCACACGCACAGGCACACGCACACACCAGAGGTGTAAATCCGAACGTGCAACCTCCACGCGGTACACCTTGGGTAATGCTAATGCCGACGGTACTATAACTTTGAAGCTTCATAACTCGGGATGTACTTAACAAAAAAATATTTTGTTGTAGTTTTGGAAAGCTCTTGAAATACGTTATAAAAATATGCCAAAAAGTAGGGCGTTCCATTTGAAAAGTTCAAGGTGACTTTGCCCTGACCTTGTTGGCGCTAGCCATGGTCAAACTGATAAGATCAATAAATAGATCATTTTATACCTTACAACTTTTGGCTGAAACATTTTTTCCAAAAACTGATTGTTTTTGAGATATTTTATCGTTCGAAGACTTTTTGAGAACCCTGTATATAAAGCTAAAAAATACAAACACAAAACTTTTCAGTACTCTTTTACACAGGATTTATTATGTATTAAGACCATAAGGATTTATTAAATTTTATTAATTATTTATTAATTACTATTTATTATCTATTTTTTAAATTCCTATATGAGATATCATTTGATAAAGTTCATGCAAGAAAATCGAAAGCAGGTTGAACACCGATTAATGGGCACTTTACCGTGTATATTTGTAAACATAAAATAATAAATACATACATTCGGTCTGCTTTCGGTATTGATACTTTTTTTACAATATAATTTCATCATATTCCGGCTACGACATTCTTAAAAAGGTGCTAATGTATAATGTATAATTTCTCTGGTAAATCCCATAAAACTAACAGTTTTTATTAATATCTCATCGATAGTGATATTCTCTTCTCTACGATTTTCATGCACTCGCGTCCTTGTTACGTTCTGGACAAGTCATAGAACATGTGTTTATCTATATCTGCAATTGACCTTGAAACTGGAGCATTTTGACCATTTTTATCCAGATACTAAGTATTGGAGAGAAGAATATTTGAACTTACGTTTTCTAAAGGCTGATTACTATTGGGTTTAATAACAACAGTTTTATCGTTATTATTATTAATATTAGCACTATATGAGACTTTAAACAAATTTCCCTTGATTTCAGATATTAATCTCGGGGTTGCTATTTGACAAGGTTTATCCCGAAATACGGCTGGATCGAACATGCTTTGATTATGATAATCTTTTGTTAGGCGCCTGAATTGAATTTGTTGCCCTGCTCTTCTAGTGCATTTCGGTATAAATATTATAAACTTTTTGTAAAAGAAGCTATTTATCAGAAAATGGACAACGTGAGGACTCTAGGATTCAGTTTACAAATATTATGCCCTTATGTTAAAAAGAAAAGGGAAAAGAAGGAAAAGGAAAAACTGTCGTTCAAGCACAATGCTCTTTGTAGAGGAAGAAAGGAAGGGTGGTACTCGTGATTCAAGTACAATACTCTTTAGAAGATGGAAAGAAGCAGAAAAGGAAGAAGGAAAAGAAATGGGAATTCTCAGCCAATGACAGGAATAGATGAAATGAAGAAATTTTGCTTACTTATACATATATATTATAAGCATACTATGTTATTATCTATTATAGTTGAGGTTTTATTCGCCTGAACGTTGATTTAAAAAAAGGAAAATACAGGAAAAGAGGTTCGTTCGATTCCGTCTACAAAGAGCAACCGCACCTGTTTTTTCGCCCGTTTGGTAGACCTCACGAATTGAATCGGATTGTGGTCTAAATAATAGCTTATGATGATATATTAATCTGGGAAAAATTTCAAGTTGAGTATAGGAATGGTTTTGGTGATATGAAAAGTCAAAGGCGGCCACAAGGGCCGCCCGCGAACACGAACAGCCGAGTTACGAGAGCGGTCCGATAAGTACTTAGCCTCACCGCCCGATGGCGCCACTATCGCAAGAGAAATTTACTATCGTGTAGTACATTCTCGTAGACGGCTCTCGTAGACTGTCGAAATTTCAGCCGAATCGGACTCATAGTTTTGTTTTGACCGCGTGTGGAAGCGGGCGTGTCCGCGGATTTTAGAAAAATGGAAAAAGAGCAATATCGGTCGGTGATTCGATTCTTGTTTTTGGAAGGGAAATCGCGCAGCGAAATCAAAGAGCGCTTGGATGCTGTGTACGGTGACTCTTCTCCTTCGATGACGACCATCAAAAATTGGTTTAACGAGTTTCAACGTGGTCGCACATCGGTTTTTGATGAGCCACGCCCAGGTGCCCCGAAAACGGCTACCACGGAGGATAACATGACAAAAATCCACGATCTCGTATTGGCAGACCGCCGATTGAAGGTGCACGAGATAGTTGAGACAGTAGGCATCTCAAAAGACCGCGTGGGTCATATCTTGCATGAAATTTTGGGCATGAGAAAGCTGTCGGCGCGATGGGTGCCGCGTTTGCTCACTCCGGACAACAAGCGCAACCGTGAGACCTCAGAGCAGTGTTTGACGCTGTTTAAGCGCAATCCGAAGGAGTTTCTGCGTCGTTTCGTGACCGTCGACGAAACATGGATCCACTGGTACACACCAGAAACCAAGGAACAGTCGAAACAGTGGACTTCACCCGGCGAACGTGCTCCGAAGAAGGCGAAGACTGTCCTATCGGCCGGAAAGGTGATGGCCACCATTTTCTGGGATTCACAAGGTGTGATCTACATCGACTACCTGGAGAAGGGCAAAACGGTCACAGGGCTGTACTATGCCGAATTATTGGGCCGATTCGACGCCAAATTGCAGAAAAAACGGCCCCATTTAGCGAAGAAAAAAGTGCTCTTCCACCATGACAACGCACCGGCTCACACCTCCGCCCTCGCCATGGTCAAATTGGTCGAATTGGGCTACGAACTGCTGCCCCATCCACCGTATTCTCCAGATTTGGCCCCGTGCGACTTCTTTTTGTTTCCAAACTTGAAAAAGTCACTCGCCGGGCAGAAATTTGAGTCGAATGAGGAGGTCATCGCCGCCACGGAGGCCTACTTTGCAGACCTTGAGAAAACGTATTTTTCAGACGGGTTAAAGAAGTTGGAGCATCGCTGGGTCAAGTGTATCGAGCTAAAAGGAGACTATGTTGAGAAATAAATCGCCACTTTTCCAAAATTTTCGTTTTTCTTTTGTAAGCTAAGTACTTATCGGACCACCCTCGTATTAGACGTTCGCGCTGTTGTCGAGGTGCAGCGTCGCTCGGCAAAAAGTCGTTATCGAGAAACCTTTATAGTACTTATCGAGGCTTACATGAAGTCTCGGTTTCGTAGCAGAAAATGTCATCACATTTTTGTTCTAGTGGATAAGGCAAAAACTGGACGGAATTTTATTTATGAGTATTATTGTACTTGTGAAAGTGGTATTCGGATTGCAGGTTGTTGCAGTCATGTAATGAAAATTGTGTGATTTTTTGGATTCGCTCAATACCATGGAATACAGATACCCAATCTTGAAATATGCAATATATCTATCACGATTCACAAAACAACCAAGCATAATGAGAGGCAAAGGGACTCACATAAAAAAACACCCCAATCTGTGAAAGGCAAGGGAACTCACATTGAAAAAGCACTCTTTACCTTATTTTTGAGCGCTCTAGATCATAATGTCCTCTTAACGTTTAGTGGCGTTAAATGTAAATTATTAGTAATATAAATTATTAATTCTTTATTCAACAGATACACGTTGGGTGACTACAGTCACCATTAGTAGCGAAAAGGTTAACAAAGCACCACCAATCGTAACAAATGGCTTGTTATTAGGTGGTGAATTAATTCGGTCCATTGCGGTACTATATAATTTTTTAACTTCTAACGTCTGCAAAAGGCTTTATTTTTTAGTTTTAAT